CCCCTCCGGCCGCCCCACTGAGCCAAGCTCCATCCTTAGCCCCTCTCTCAGTCCCCATCTAATTTACAGGTTATTTCCCTAGAAAGGGGCAATACCATGTCCTTCCCCCTGACAGGACCCGGGCTGGACCCCTTGGTGCCTTCCAAGGGCTTTTCCCCACGGTGCAGCACTGTCCCACCGTGGCGTTGGGGTGTCTGTCCAGGATCTCCCTGCGCAGGGCAGGGGGGAACATCCAGAGGGAACATTTCCATGGGGCAAGAAATGGGAACAAGGGCATTGCTGGCACCTACATGGCTATGAGCGCCGCGTCCCGTGAGTAATCCAGCAAAATCTCATTCAGCCTCACTTGTCGAAGTGACTGTGGAGCAAATAGGGTTGACTAATGCAAAATAATTGTTTTCAAAAAGACTGAATTTTGTCTCAAAAGCAGGAGACCCTTTGCGGAGTCCTCAGCGCTACCTTGGCTCTGTTTTTATCAACCTCCTCGTCAGAAATCTTCCAGGGACAGCCCTGCCTCATCTCATTCACCGTGGCCTCATCTTTGAAGCCATCATTCAGCCTGAAGGGAGCAATCAGGTCGTCGAACCTCTTGATGCTACAAGACAAGCAGACAATGCCGGGGAAGGGGGTCCAGGCAGGTTTAGGGGTGTGGGGGGCAGGGGGAAAAGGGGAGGGGGTGGTTACTGCTCTGGCCGGGGTTTCTGGTTGATGTCGGGGAGGATGTGGACCTCGTGGAAGCCGAGGCGGAACTTGCTCAGCAGAGAGACAATCCTGCCAGAGGAAAAAGGACACATTTTCCAAAAACTAGCAGGGCATGGCGGCTCCAGCAGGGACCCATTCTGGCAGAAATCCCTGCTGCCGTCCTTGGTTTGCACTTGGGTTTTCCCCACCCGGCAATCACATTGATTTTCAGAGAAGCAAGGCAAAGCATCCAGGTTGGCGTGCACAGATCCCATTATGGCAAAGCCTGGGGGGCTTGAGGGGGGAGCAGCTCCTGCCACCTGCCCGTGGGGACAGTGGTGGTGGCCACATGGCTAAGAGGGGCTGTGGGGTGTGAGTGGCCGCCAGCACTTACGCCTTCCTCTCCTCATCCATCCTGTTGATCTGCCCACCAACAAACACCCGGATTTTGCACTTTCCCCACCGCTTCTTGCGCCCCAGGAGGTAGGGGATGAGCAGCGTGAGACCTGTCCCCAAAACACCCAATGGGAGACGTGGCTGTGGTGACCCCACGGGCTCGCCAGTGCTTTCTTGACGCCGGATGCCAGGGATGCCCTGGCACCATTCGGCGAGGACTGAGCCCTCCTGGGCACTGCAATGGAGATGCTGGGTTTGCATTAGCTGGACAGACAGATGGTGAAGACCCACAGCAGCCAAAGGTGAAGGTTACCTCCATCGTCAAAGAGCCAGTAAATGTCGATGGTCTTCTTGCCCTGCTCACTCTGGAAGATGGTGCTTGCCTGCTGATCACCAGCCAAGGTGGTGGGGTCTGCTGCCAGGGCAAGAGGGTCCCAGCATCGGCAAGGGGCACCACCGGCTGTGGGGAAAGGCACCGCTTCCTCCTGACCCCAGCCTTGCTCCCCTTCGCCGCTCAAAACCCATGCCCCTGCCTGTAAACCCGGCTCCCCGAAAATAATCCTTAGAGCCAGGGATGCTCTGGGTGGCCCCAAGCCAGGACTGACCTGTGCCTGGGGCTGCTCTGCCGCCAGTGCCATTCTCCTCAGGGTGCTCCGCTGCCTTGAACGTGGGGTTAACTGGGGAGGGAGAAGAGCACGGGCAGCACGCCAGTGTCCCTATCCCCTTCGGTCCCAGCCCAGGAGTGATGTCCCACCAGGACTGTGACCTTTGCCTGGGGACGCGGTGTTGGCTGGCACATCCTACAGCTCTGGCACATCTCCGAGCATCCCCAGCTGCCCAGAACTGCTTACCGTGAGCCTGCATCACTCGGGAAACATTCAGCCCTTCCTTCATTCTCATTAAGCACACACCATACTTGAAATCGAAGGCGTCACTGGCAGGAGGGAGGAGAAGGCAGTTAATGGTGGCCAGCTCGTGTCGGGTGGCACTGCTGGCCGGGCTGGACCCTGCACACGCGGCCACAGCGTCCTTGCACCCAACCGCGGGGCCACCGCCGGCATCGCTGGGGGGCGGAGGAGCTGGCGTGGCCGTACTGCAGGATGCCCACGTAGTCCTCCAGGCTCTGTGGGGATGCTGTCCGCCAGTTCCTCTTGTAGCCCAGCGCCAGGATGTTGGGTCTCATCTTCCCAAGGCCAGCAGCCTATGGATAGATGTCCCCATGAGACCCCTCTGCAGGGACAGATGGACGTGGGTGGTGTCAGCCCACAGGGGAGCGATACAAAGCGGGGTGCCTGGAGGGCAGGGAGGGCAGTCAGAGACTCCCACACAGTGATGGAAGAGGAGGGACCCTGACAGTCGACAGCCAAGGGTGGCTCCACCTGGATGAGCATTTGGACACCGCTTCTCAGATCCTCAGCCACCACATCTGTATAAAAAGCCTTGATCTTCCTCTTCATAAGCCACTTGGTGTGGCCATCCGCTGTCAGCCGGGACTCTGGCATCTTCTGCTTCCGCGGTCCCTGGAGGGAGCAGGGGCAGGTGCTTAGCCACAGGCAGCCCCTTCCAGCTGGTGGTCTTGCCACCAAGGACCTCCAGCTCCTCTCTTCCCAAATCATTGGCAAGACCTGGATGTAACCAGTGCCTGCATGGGAGGTTGCAATCACAGCAAGAAAACCAGTGAATTTGGGGAGTCAACAGCTAATGCGCATGATGCCAGTAGTGCTGTGGCTGCGGATGAACTGGCATTTGCTGCACCACATGTGCCCAATTGCTCTTGAGGCTTCAGGACTGCAGGACCACCCCTGTCCTCTGAGCAACCGCCTCATCCTACAACGTCTTTTCTTTGGCAATTAATTGGCAAGGGGAAGCCACTAGCCCAGAAGGGCATCCTGGTGCTTCATCAATATTGCTTAATAAGCTGGAGAGGCTTCCAGATGAAACATTTCATCACCCAGCAGCACATAAACAGGCACATTTCAATCCCCACCCCGTAAGCCCACAAGGACATATCTGGGTTTCTCAGCCCACCGCCCACAGGTGTCCAGAGCCCCCAGGACAAGGAACCAATTGGCTTTTGCAGGTAACTCACAACCAGCACGTTGCCGCAGAGCATCAGGCTGAGGTTCTTGGTGAACGTCCCCACGAAGTCCACCAGGGCCGGGCGGAAATTGGGAGGGCCGGTCAGCACCAGGCACTGTGGTCTGCAGGCAGGGAGAGAAAAGGGAGCAAAGGCTGATACTTTGGAGGCACCGAACCTCTCCATAACAAGCCATATATCTTCTCCCGTGCCTGGCCAGTGGCAACTATAGGGAGCATCTTTAGGATGAGATGAAATCATGTGGCTGAGGGTCCAGCCTCACTCTTTGGTCTTTTTATATCAGATGAGACCAATGCGTCTACATCTGCCTGGTACAGGGAAGGCAAGGTTTGCCCTGATTTCCACCTCTGCCCACATGGCAAAGACATGGGATTTTGGGGACAGCCACATTTTGCCAGGGCTCTCAGTTACTGAGGATGGTGGTGAGGACGTTGCCACGGGCATGAAGTCATCCTGGGTTTGCCAGCAGTGGCGACTGGCTCTGCATCCCTCTCCCTCTGTGCTCAGCACTGCGCTGAGCCACCCTTGCCTGTAGTTCTTGATGTGCTCATCCACTTCGCTCAGCCCCACCGAGCAGTTGAGGGCCATGTTGTATGAGCCGGCTTGCATGGAGGAGCCCCAGTTGACATCTACATGGGGAAGATGGATTAGCAATGGGGCCAGACACCTCCTGGGGCATCACTGGTGCCTGGTTACCGCCACGCACCCGGCTTTTTATAGAGGACATATCCCAGGAGGAAGATGACAATGCCGAAAGCAATGAGGGCCGCCCACCAGGTCAGCAGGAACATGATCACCACTGAGATGGCGGCCCCGAAGAGCGCGGCCCACTTGCTGTAATACCGAAAGGAGGGTCGCCAGCCTGCACGCAAACACACACAGCGGCCGCTGCTGGGATGGGGAGCCGGGTGGGGAGCCGCCTGCCGCACAGCACAGTGCGGCACAGCCCACCTGGAGAGTTGGTGATGGAGGCGTGGAAGCAGCTGAAGTTGATGAGGGCATAGGAACAGAGGAAGAAGTTGGAGATGATGGGGGCGATGGCGTTGAGCTCAGCTGTGGGGAGGAGGAGGAGAGCAAGCTGTTGGCGGTGGGGACCAAGCCACCTGGCTGGTGGTGGGCACCAGGAGGGCACCGGGGTGGCAAGCACCTACCGATGAGGATGAAGCCAACAGCGATGACATAGGTGAGCATGTAGCCGCGGATGGGCTCGCTGTTCCTCCCATAGCCCTTCCCGAAGAAGCCTATGAGAGGGTAGAGCTGGTCCCTGCAGAGACACTGTGGGGAGAGACACATTGGGAACAGTGGGCTTGACCAGGGACATGGGATGGCAGTGCTGTGGTGGCTCTTGCACTTGTAAGAGCAAGGGCTGAACTGGCCTCGCACCTTTGCCAATGGGAGCATCCTCCTCACCCCGGGGCTGCTCATGGCCTCAAAGCCCTGCAGTGCTGGGCGCACGCCCAGGAGCATTGCCTGCTCCCACTGCTGGGGATGTGAGCTGGGGGACGCGGACACACTACTCCCTCACCTGGAAGACTTTGGGGGCTGAGACGAGGCAGGCCAGTGCCGAGGAGAGGGTAGCACCAAAGATCCCAGCCGTGATGAGGGGGCCGAATCCAGACACCATGCTCATGCTCTGCCCAAAAACCAGGTAGTCAGGAACCCTGGCACCCCCAGTGCATCAATCTCCACCCTGGCCCTAAGGGATTTCCAGCCCCTGGGCCCCATGCTGCTGCCCCCAGTGCTTTTTCATCGACATTATCCAGGCAGCGAAGTCCAGCTGCATCCAAAAGCCCAAGGAAGACAGGCTTCCTGGTGCATCCCCATCATGTGGGTGCTTTAATGGCATGGCTGCCTCCCAGGATGCTGGGGGGATGCTGGGCATGGGTCTGCCCTGGGAAACCGGGGCAGGTGATAGCCCTGAGCAGCACCTGGTAGTAGTTGCTGAGCCCATATCGGCAGCTCTGCTGCTGGATGCAGGCAGTGAAGTTCCAGC